TATATATATATATATAAATATATATATATATATATTACACAATTGATAAAGTGTGTGTGACTATATGTCAACAGGGAAAGATTGTCAGATTACAGAAGTCTCTCATTTTATAACGGCAGGAAGCAGTCGCTTTCACTTCTGATAGAATGGGTGCGGATTTGTGGGGGTATATACCAGGAGAAAACCAAGAGCAAGATATCAAATGCTTGTGAGAAGGAGATAAAAAACATGCTATGATTTAGGGACGATTCAACAAATTCCTTTAGCATTGAACTATCATTTTGGATACCGACTGAAGAGAAGTTTGCCGTGGAGTTACAAAGCATGATGGAGAGATTCTTCTCACTGCTGCAAAAGCTAATGGAGGTAAAGAAGATGAAGGAAGCTCAAGGGTTAAGTGGGGAAAGATGACCATAGAGAGAGAGAGGGTGAGAGGGACATGGTGAGGTTAACTTGGGATAGTGGGAAAAGAAATTATCCCCATGTTTTTTGATTTTTCAGTTAATGGCTACTAAACTTGAGAACAAATTCATCTCATGCCAATCAACACATGATGGATTATAAAAATATATTAAATCAAACATAGGATAATTTCGTGGATGACATAAAGGGCAACAAGAATATCTTGGTTCACAAGAAATAGGCCGGTGGTCAACTAATGAGCTTATCGATGGCGAGGCTAAGTTCAAACTTTGATACTTTACACCTCTTTAGGCGGAAAATAGGAGACATAAAAAAAAAAAAAAAAAAGGGGTTGGGCTTTCTAGCCTTAACCTTAATTTACTGTTGGGGAAGAGGGATAGTTTTAAATTTTCTTTTAGGAAGGAGGGAAGGGTCAAGCTTTATGGACTCTTAGCTCTCATAGTTTTCCATATATTTGCAATTATTCAAGAGTTGGATTGTGTAAAGGCGTGTCATTACATTATGGCGTAATCTTTGGTGTTCAGTCAAGGGAAAAGTAGATACTTGGGTGGATATGCTTTGAAGTGATCTTGTTGGTTTCTCGGTGATGATTTGATCGGCTTGAAATTGAGTGGAATTGGATGATAAGTCAATTGTCATCTGATTGATCGTGGAGACAAAATTGGCAAGGGATTCACAAGGTAGAGTTGATTGTGATTGACACCAGGTGTTTCATCAGAGTTGTTTTGGGACATGTTTAGAATTTGATTTTATTTGTAGGTTTGTCAAACCAAATTTTAAAATGCTCCTTTACACATGAATAACTCTAATGAGGGTTGCAAAATGAGGCATTTCTCTTAGACAAAAAGAAGTTGATAGTTGTAAACCTGCTACTGCAAATAGTGCCGTTTTCAACATATGTGAGGATCCCAACTGACATGATAAAAAATTTTCCATGTATGTATGAGAAGCCTTTGATGGCAAGCAAGGCATATTTTATTGATTTTTTTTTTTATTTTCGAGTTTGTTGCTGGCACTTCCACAGTGACTCAGCTGAGTCTAGTCCCGTCATTAGTTACTCAAGCCCAGTTGTTTTCAAATTTAATGAAGAAGTTTGTATATTGAGATTGTTATCTTTAGTTCTAGAACTGTGATTGTTGTCAGTAGTTCGTGCAGGTCTATGAAGTTGAAACTCGATGATATTCTTGACTAATTTTAAGTGAGGATATTAGGAAATGGCAATTTGGTGAAGTTCATTTTAATGCTTTGAATCTTGAGAGCATATGAAGATAAGTCTTGAGTGTTATATGTGAAGTGATCTATGATGAGTGCATAGGTTTATAGAGTTCTGGAACTTTTCTTTAGGTGTTGTTTTTTTATAATTCACACAAATAATTTATGACTTAACTATTATATAGGGGATTGTTGATGGTGAACTCTTTTATTTTGTGGGATTATGTAATCAACAAACCAAGATTGTTAATGGGATTATGTGGAAGCTTCACAGTTTAAAACTTGTTCTTAGCTTGAAGAGAAACATAATATCTATTTTTGAGAGCTTGATAAAGAAGGTTATGTCTCAACCTTCTGCTATAATTCCTGAAAGGTGACCAAATGTGTTATGGTGACAGCATAGAAAAGCCAATATGACATCTTGTATATGATAACAAATACTATAATAGTGAATTCACTATGAAATTAAGTGCGAAGAATTTTGGAGATTTTATGCTGGTCAACATTTCTATCAAATGGGAGCTTAAGGAGGGCATGATAAGAGAAATGAGCAGGATGACAATAAAACAAAGTGGTAACGGCTGATAATTTTACTGCTGATCAATTGAAGCACTCAAAGTCTCATTTTCCCTTATAGTTGATTGAGGGTAGGTGCCACACATAGATGTTCCTTTCTCCGCGGATGTCACATCATGAATTAATCTCCAAGTAAGATTATTAGATAATTAATCTCCAAGTAAGATTATTAGATGTTTGATTCTAAAGTCATTTTAAATCTATAAAAAATTTGGATAAGAATTCAGACCATTTCTAATTTTTATTTTTATGCTCGGTGACTGCTAAACTTAAGATCTTCTTACCTATCACCACACAATGCTTAATAAAAGAAGATGAACTCAAACATAGGATTCTCTCAACTTCTTCTTGTGGATGCCATCAAGGGCAGCAAGGACCCAGTTGGTCGAATACGGAAGAGGTTTCGACGACATTCTCATTGGTGGAGAGTCTAGGGTCAAGCATCAAACATTATTTCACCTCTCTATTTTTAACTGGATGTGGTAAACATTGTTGGGAAGAGGTTTCGACGACATTATCATTGGTGGAGAGTTTAGGGTCAAGCATCAAACATTATTTCTCCTCTCTATTTTTAACTGGATGTGGTAAACATTGTTATACTTGCTGAGGTTGACTAGAAGGACTTCGAGTTTGTGTGGTCGATGGTTTTGCCTGGTGAAGGAGAGCATCCAGGGGTCTCATAGCAGGAGGTGATTAGTGGCTTTCGGAGAGATGACCACATGAAGTTTGAGGGCTTTCAATTGAAATAGTGATGCAACTTACATGAACTCTTCCAATCTCTATCGTCCAAGCATAATGAACTTCCTCATCTCAGCAAATCCAAGTCAAATACCTTACAGATGTACACCAATAGCAACATGACTTTTCATATAAAACTTTACAATAGCTCGATATAATTTCAAATGAACACTGTCGCTTCTTTGCATCGCCTTGTTCTCCTACTTCTACAGGTTTAGTTTGTTTTACAGGTAGTGGCTTTCGGAGAGATTGTGACATATAGTGTGAGGGCTTCCAATTGGTGATTGAAGGCAAATGAACTGTGTACTATGCATTATAGAGAAGTAGAATAAGGGAAGCTTATATCAAGTATATGATCATATGTATGTTTGAAATATGCATGTATGTAATGTAATTACTGATGTTATTTCTTCTTGAGGTTTTCTTGTGTTTTGAATTTTTGAAATAGAGAGAGAGAGAGAGAGTAGTAAGGGGAATCTAGTGAGGTAAAAGGAATATTTGGGGTATGCAAATATATTATATCTTATATATTTTTTTTAACCAGTGGATCATTTATCTCTCTCTAGATGCTGGTGGATCTTACTGAATCTTGAAAGTTCTTTTTTTTATTTGATATATATTTTTAAATTATTTTTTTCTTTTCTTGGGACTATCGTCACTCTTGTACAGGTGGTTTTCCCCAGCATTTTCTCCCAACATTTTGATGTTATTTATTTATTTATTATTTTAACATCTCTCCTCCTTTCAGGTGATGGAAGAACAAAGATGCCACTAAGTCCAACTGTTGCTGGCTCTGAACATCCTTTTGCCACTGGGTTTGGGTTGAGTGGTGGCAGCATTCAGTTTGGTGAACCTTCTTCCCATCCGTTGGGATTTTCACATAGTATTTCCTCTGGAAGCTTGCTTCAGCTTCCATTTGGTGATAGAAGTAGGCCGTTTTGGAGTCCAAACAGGGGGCAAATGCTTCAGAGTCGGAGATCTCAATCCAGAGAAGACCTTATTTCATCGATTGAGGCTCACATGGTGAAAGTTTAGTACACAGATTACAAGCCAGGTATGAGTCTGCCTTCTTTGCTTTTGGTTAATTAACACTCTTTTATTTCTTATTTCATACATACATATACACACACACACACACTCACACACACACATATATATATATACAAAGATATATACACATATCTATGCACATAAATGTGTATATATCTTTGTATATATTTGTATATATATATTGACAGCGAGTAGGTTTTGCAAGGATGCCGCTCTTTATGTGAAATTCGGAATTACAAACTTGAATTCAGTTTACTTTGTAGTATATTTGAAATGCTATAAATAGGGTCGACTTCATAGACTTTGCATGTATATTAAAGTGCTGCTTCTTAAGCAGGTATGACCAATCTCAACAAACCAGAGCCACCAATGTGCATATATTGGATGATTGGAGTATTCTTTTAAGCCTTAACTTCTCAGGTGCTTGCTTTTTAACATGCGGAGCTTCAATGCTGGTCATCATCTATCATTTTTACTCTGATTTTTTATTTTTATTTTTTTAGTTATTTATATAAAATTTATATATTTAGGGTTAATGTTGTTCGTGGCTTCCTGGTTGTAGTACCAAGGAAGATTTTTTGGTTCAAAATGGTATATTTTTTGAAAAGATAACTTTGGAAATAAAATTTATATTAAAGTAGGTTGTTTTAGACTTATTCTATGATTTTGAAGTTCGTTTATTTGGACTTCGGCAGTAGCTGCTTGTGGCATTCACGGCTTGGAAATGCCAAGAATAGCTTGAGATCAACGAATCAATGAAATTTATACTGAGAGTGCCATTAAAGTAACATTTTGTGAGCAAATTCCTATTAAATTGAAGAATAACATTGAATGTAACAATCCCATTTTGTTAGCATGCAGAATGCAGTAGTTGTGCTTGTTGCTTCATTTGACCATTTTTAGTATATCTTTTATGCTGTCTTTCTATACAAGTAGTATATAATTCGAGTAGGATTTAGTAAATCTTATTACTCCAGATTTAGTAATTCCTGGAGTGTTGAATCCTGAAAACCAGAAATGATTGGGGAATTCACATACGCACCAAGTAATTCATATATATTTACATGTTTGACACATGAATTTGATATTTATTTATATAACATTTTTCTGCTATAATCACATCAAAACATATGCATGAGATGTGTGTTTCACTTTAGAAAAATTAATATTAGTGATATTTTTTTGCTGTGATGTTAAGGATTTTAGTGCTATACAAATGATAATTAAAGTTTAGTTGTTAGATATGTGGTTGTATGTAAAGTTCCCAATTGTTTAGCATGGTAGATTCTATTTATACTTAAATCCTCGTGATTTGTTTGACATATATTTGGAGGTTGTTTGGCTACGAAATATATTTATTTCAAATTTCGTAAATCCTACTTATCCTAGGATTTTCTAAGGGGCAATTACAAATGGCACGCGTAAATACATTTGTTCTGCAGTTCAAAAAAATCACTTGGGTGGTTAATTTGACACGCGTAAATACATTTGTTTTGCACTGCAGTTCAAAAAAATCACTTGGGTGGTTAATTTGCAAATATCAATGTTTCTGGTGGTCTTTATGTAATTATCCCATTTTCTAAATCAGGATTTAGATTAAATGAAAGTGAAGGGGCATTTAAGAAAGTAATATGATTTTTATGGCTCTACAAATTGTTTGCAAAGATTTAGCTTAAATTCTGGGTAAAATTGTCGCTAAATCTTGCAACCAAACAGCCCTGAAATTTGTTTTGTCTGCAATCCAAGCTAATCTTTTTTTAGTTATGCAACCCTTTTGAGATACATTTTAGGAATATGTATTGTATGTCCCACTGTTCATCCTGCTTTTGCTTTTAGGTTATTCTTGAATCTTAAATAACACAAATGTGTTTATTTCAAAATTATTTAGGGCTGCATGACTTTTATTTTCTATTTTTGTTTTTTTTTTGCTTTTTTTTTTATAAAACTTTCCATAGCGTGTTTGGTTGGTATAGTTTTTACATGTTTTTATTTTTTTTTAAACACTAGAAAAGTCGTTTTGAGTGTTTTTCAAAAAGGTTATTTTAAAAAAATAAAAAATAAAAACATGCCAAACATATTTAAAAAATAAATAAATTTTAGTTTATTTTCATGTTACTTAGTTGTTGGCCACAAATAAACTGTTGAAATTATGCCTCTTAGTTAATATTTCCACACTTAATATTAGTGGTTATTGGTAACATATTAATCAGTAAAGCAAATAATTTTGTTCTTATCAATATCAAGTTCATGACTGTAAGCTTCAAGATGCGGCACATTAGTTCGAAGCAAAGTGAAGAATCCTGAGGAATCGGGTTCAAGCAGTCATCTTACCTTGAAAAAAAAGAACAATGTAGGTTGATTCTAAGATTTCTTATGAGAACTTCAGAACCTAATGCTGCTATATTTTGCCCAGCAGGTATGCAAAACGTGTGCACAAATTTTCCTTCACCTGCTCTAGAAGGTTTTTCTTTTCCATTATATTGTTGTGAGACTTAAAAGAATTTGCTTCAAATTTTTTGGAACCTTAATAATGTTCCCTGCAAACTGAGTTGTATCTAATGGCAGCTTTTAATTTTAATTTAATTTATATGCTTTGTTTTTGAAGGGCTTTTGTCAGGTTTAAAGTTCTATCAGATTTCTAGATAAATTCCTATAGGCTTCAAATTCAAAATGTTATGGTGAGTTGTGCTTCTTTATAATGTGGTTTTTTAAGAGTATGATGGCTACAAGAGCAATAATGATTATTTTCTTACTATTTTGCTGCCACTTTATAAATAATTACAATTGCCCTAAACTGACCTGTGGCTCATAATTTCATGAACTATTATTTCATTAGATATTAAAAAAAAAAGGGGTGGAAGAGAACCGTTTTAGCCCGTAGACGTGAAGGCATAAAATCAATTATTCTTATTATAGTGATTTTTGATCTGGCAGAAAACAAACACTCCAAACAAATTAAATTACATTCATCCCTCTCCCATGTCTTCATATAAATCTGTCATTCTGAACTCCAATTCTTCATAATGCAACATATCTGTGCTTATTTTTATCTTGAATTATATCCAAAGAATGGAAAAATATCTTCCGAAGCCCAAAGAATTTTTTTTTTTTTTTTTTTTTTTTTTGATTCAAAGTTGGCTTTGAGCTCTGATTTTCACTTGGGGATGAAAGCTCCCACATAGCCAAATCCCATTATGAGAAAGGAAATTGAGAGAGGATAGATATATACGAAGTAGTGGTCAGTTCTGAAAGCATAGTCATATGATGCACATCCCCATAGGCATACTCCAATTCCAAGCTCCCAGAAATTATATCTGCCAAAATTTAAGGAAATATATATAAATAAAATAAAATAAAAATATATTGTATGTTTAAAATGGATGAGTAAAAGGGAAAAAAAATCAATGGCAAACTATCTGAAACATATAAATTCACTGATTAATGATTGAGATCTTGTAATATCACTGAAAGGAACAGAACTCAAACTTGATTGGAATGCATATATATAAATCATTACATTTATTTTGAAAGAAGATTAACAGAAAATTTAATTGATTATTCATTATTTTCACTCATCATAAAATTATTCAATGAATTTGAGACTCATTATGACCAAAACTTTTTCCTAAATGACATATTATCTCAACCTTTTAAATTTTATGAAGATATTAAATTGATTACATGATGCTATATTTAAAAAAAAACTATATTAAATTGAGCATAATTGTAAAAATAATCCCACAACTAGAATATTATTTATGGCTTACAATTATGAGAGTTGTATATGTATTATACACCGGAAAAAAAAATCTAAGAAAAAGGAAAATGTAAGAGGATTACCTATCCCAGAACCTGGTTCTGATTTTGTTGACAACACTAACCAATGGTTTAGACTTCAACATATCCCCTAATTTTTCTGTAACTATCCATTCATTAGCCCTCTCTGCTTCCGTGAGCCCGATAAAAACTGCTTTACATCGATGCCAAGACATTACATTCTCGAACAGAATCCAAAAGAATGTTAGATGAATGGAGCTGCAATACATAAAAATAAATATATTATTGTTAAAATAACAAAATCATATATCAATAGGACTCAAAAGAAGTCTTTTTTTAAATGTTTAATATTTGGTGATGATTACCCGGGAGTTCCAACAGCATTGAGAAAAGTTATGATAGTGGGAATATAAACTACTCCCCAGCGAGGAATTTGAACTTCAGGAAAGAGTACAGAGAGAGGAATCACAACGCAGTAAAATAAGAAGGTGACAATGTGGGAGATGATTCTTCGTGCCAGAAAAAAGTTGTAGATCAAATAAAATTTCTTCTGTGGGGACACATTCTGCAATGATAAGAGATAGAATATGTAAAACAAATTTTCTTAGTTTAGTTCTAAGTTCCGATATATACATAATTGAAGAAGAAAGCCTAACCTTTGCCCATAGGATCTCCAATGCCATTTTCTTAAACAAATTTGCTGGTCCACAAGACCATCTATGTTGTTGGAAACGATAAGCTTTAAAAGTGCTTGGTAGTTCACTTTTTACCTGAAAATAATATAATTTTTATTCTTAATGAACCTATGATTTCATGGAGCAGCACTTGTGTTCTATGTTTGAGTGTAATAATATGATTTTAACTTCATATACACATAATGAAGATAACATATTTACACTTATACCAATCATTTGAACAAAAAACGAATTTTAACATCCTGCTTATATTAAAACAATTTTTTTTCTTTTTAATCTTCAAGTTTAAGATTACCTTGATATTTCCAGTATACACAAATTTCCAACCAGCAAGGGTGGCTCTCACTGCTAGATCCATATCTTCTACTGTTGTTCTTTCCTTCCAACCTGCTGCTTCATTAATAGCTGCTATGCGCCAAACTCCAGCAGTTCCTACATTTCAAATAATTTTGTATAAATTGTATTAGTTCTGACAAGTATATATATATATATATATTGCATGCATGCTTTGGTGAAAATATTGTACCGTTGAAACCAAAGAATGCCACTGTCGATGATCCTGATTGCTGCTCTACCTTGAAATGATAATTTAAAGACATTTCTTGTATTCTTGTCATCAAGCAATCATCTGCATTCACTGTATAAAAGCATTAAAGTGTTACTTTGTAGCCATTATTTTTGTCTTGATATATAATTCTGTAATAAAATAAAAATAAGTGTAAATTACATACTGATCTATGAGGTATAATGAGCACTTCACATTGGCCAATATTTTCTGAAGCCATAGTAATTAGATCTTAATATTGATATAAAGAAAAAGGGTGTTCTTACCAAATTTCCAGCGAGCTTGAACAAGAGCAATTTCTGGATTGTGGATGAGGAAGGGAACTGTTCTCATTAGAAAATCTGACGCAGGTTGAAAATCTGCATCGAAAATCGTGACATATTCGCAGATTTGCACGTAAGGAAGATCCATTGCTTCCTTCATGGCTCCTGCTTTATATCCATTTCTATTATCTCTTGATATGTAATCTATATTTATTCCTTTTCTCCTCCATTTCTCACATTCATTTTGAACCAAATCCTGCAACTCAGAGCAACAGTATGGTTGCATTAATTTTACGGTAGGTATAAACTGTAGTTGACTCAGCTGAGTAAGTTTTGAGCAAGGAGATCAAACCCTTGTTATTAATTCAGTTGAGTCATCAAGAACTTGAATTATAATTCGATCCGATGGCCACACGAGATTGCAAACAGCTCCGATTGATAGTTTGTAAACCTCCAAAAAATTCTATTTCAGTCACTACTACATATAATATATATATATATATATATATATACTTTGTAATACACACACACACACACACACACACATTGCTTACCTCTTTCTCATTGAACATAGGAATTTGCACAAGAACCATAGGAAAAGCCAAGCTTCCTTGTTCTTCATCCTCTTCTATTTTCTTCCACTTATAGATTTTTTCTGGTTTTCGACGAAAGATCTTAACATAAAGGCTCACCAAACCCATTGAAAGTTTTTCTATCAACAACATCGTTGACATGATAAGGCAAAGAACAACTGCCACCCTTATCACCGGCACAACTACTTCTGAACTGAATCGCTTCCATAGTACCGTAAATTGATCCGGAAGCACCGTCACCGTCGACGAGAAGATGAGATTGAATGCTCCTCCCATGGAACCTGCAAAAGGTCTATACCTCTTGGCTGCACATGCAAAAAAAAAAAAATCTTAACAAAATAGATGAATGACTTAACAAAATAGATGAATGAAAAAGGACCTTAATTTACACTTAATGTATTCTTATCATTTTCATATAACCTTTTATGAAAAATGCCTCCATATATCCTTATTCTTTAATTTTTCAAAATGATAGTGCAGTTCTATCTTCAGTATAGAGAGAATTTATATCAAATCAAATGTCATCAGAGGAGGAGCCTTATGATGAAGGACATATCACTCTATAATTCTCTCTTTGTACGATGGGTTCTTTCTCCATAAAGGCTTAAAAATGTTTTATCCATTAAATTCTATGCTTTTTAAAGACATTTATTGTCCTCTCATTCCCACCCTCAGAGAAATGCCAAGAAATAATTTGATGATTGCTGTATCATTCATTATTTCTCATTCATTATTTTCTGCTTTTTGATTGGGGCAAAATTATAGAGCAAAATGCAAATAATAATGGAGAAAGTTGGGGGGGAGATTGGCTGTATGAAAGAGATTTCTGTCATTTGTTCATAATAATCAATAGAAGTGAAGATAAAATCATAAAATATATAATAATAATAGTTTCCAAGAAGCCTATTAATGTTATACATTTGATTTTTGCATTTTTTTATGCTTTATAAGGTCCAAAATTAAAATAAAAAAAGAACTGTTTATCAACTTAAGAAAAAGTGCCATACATATTGAGCTAAATCTAACATAGGATGCCCTTTACCAAAATTTAATTTCTTCTATTTTTCTTGCTTTCACTGCAATGCCAATTATAATTAGTTATTACATGCCACACAATTCTTGTATATTTACATTTCTAACTTACTTTTAAAAGTGAAATGCAGATTTACCAAAATGTTATTAATGCAAACATCAAACTTTATATGTAAATACATAAGAATTGTATGGTATGTATGCAAATTTTCAAAAATATGAATGACTCTATATGAGAGTTAAATAATTGATGGATCATTAACTCTGATCATATCCTCCTCAATATAAAGTAGGATTGATGGAATAATATCTAACATTTTCAGTACCTTTCATTTCTTCATCAGAACTTCATAAAACAAAATTTATTGCATTTCAATGTGCAGTTACTAATTACTTATATGACAATAAAGCGTTTTAAAGAGGATTATCAAATCGAACCTTAAGGTGCATTGGCAGCTGTTAGTTTACAAAGTATTAGCATTGGATCTCCTCATTTTCAGAAGCTTCCAATATCAGTAATTGGGGAACAATTCGATTCCTTTCAGCCTCAGCTCTCCTCCTGATACAATAATTTGCAATAATTTTTCTTTTGCATTAATTTTTTTGTTTTATTATCATTTAAATTATAAAAAAAAATTAAGATGAGGCACAATGCCATAAGATTCATGGCTTCATGCTTATCACAACTTCTTATTTTTATTTTATTTTTATTTGTTTTGTCACTACTTTATTCATGTTTCTCCTCTTCTTTTTTGGAAATTTCCTGCTACTATTCTCATGCTTTAAATTGCAAATCAAAAGAGGACCAGGCATCATAAACATGTTGCATTTTGCATGAATACTTTTACATAGAAAGGGAAAAAGATCTCTTAGGTATATTATGACAGTTTTGTTTCAAACATCATTACTATACAGGAGCAGAATAATCATTTCTCCCGAAACAACTGCAAAATAACTATTTTTCATTTTATCTTTATTAGCTGTTGTGCAGCAGTTTTTCTGAAACAATTGCTTATCAGCAATTTATTTAAAAACTTTATCTGTCCCAAACAGAAGCTATAAGACTATTTGGAAGAGCTTTTTGGTTGGATTTCTGAACTGCATCTCCTTCGGCATTTGATTGACACGCATCGTAGAAATGGGAGTTTAAAACCACGGCAGGAATTCCTTTGGTTCAGAACTGCGTCCGTATTTAAAATCAGAGACAACATCATCAATATTTATGCCGTTGGAGAAGTTGAAATATTCAATATTTATGCAGACCATTTTGAAAAAGTACTTTTAATTTTATTTTAAATAATTTGATTTTTTTCTGAATTTACATATCTAACAGCTAAACATGCATATTTACAGGCATACCATTCAAATCTCTGACATCACAAAATGAAAAATGCATATTTACACGCACCCTTATTCACAGACATCATTTTCACAACATAATTTTTCAAACGGAACATCTGCTTCTGTAAAACCAGCTCTTAAACAACAGGTTCTCAACAACAACTTTTAAATTGAAACTTTCAGCAACCACAACCGAAACAAACACACCCTAAGACAAACCTAAAGTGTGGGACCAATGGACCATAATTGTTCATTACTATAATTTTATTGGATGTTTTGTTTATTTGATTGTTTACCTTTTTTTATTAAGAAAAACCAATGGAGTCATCTGACTTTAAAAAAATAATTTTGGTAGCAGATTAAGAACAACATTATTGTTCGTATCTGTTACGTCATCAACAAATTTTCATAATATGGCATAAATCTTGAGGAACTGCAGGAATCAAGTCAATCTTTTGAGCGAGAAACGTTCAAACTTCGATTAAAAATTATATAGAGCTTTGATTTTAACAAACTTATAGTCAAACTGATCGGCTCGAAGAGAAGGACCCAACAATATGAAAATCAATCCAATGTGAGCCAGATCAAGCCCCGATCAAGTCATTAAATCACTTTTATATGATTTTTGAACATATTTGGACGGTCAAATGGATGTCTAATCTAACAAGCTTATAGTCGAATCGAGCTTCTCGACAAGACAAATCCAACGAGCCAAGATCTCTCAATTATGACATTATTAGGGCACTAAATTGTCCATTAACCACCGTTTGACGAAGGAAATCTCTCCGGGGCGTCCGAATATAGTGGTTTATATTCTTTCGTTAATTGCAAATGAGATTCTATTAATATAGCCTTACCCCTCTTTTAAAAAAAAAAGGAGAAAAGAGAGCTAGAAGCCTAAAGAAGACTAGAAGATTAAAGGTTAGAGAGTGAGCTGAAGTCCAATATCATCTCGTCGCTGACCGCCATCGACCACTAGTCACCAACCACCACTAACCACTACTACTTGCCGGCCTCTGTAGATTACCATCGTTACCGTTCACTTCTTACGACAAGTTCATTAGTGCATTAACATTGTAACTCAAGAGATTGTGTCTCCTTTTCTCGCCTGTGAGACAATAAATTATAACTGTAATCACCACGTTATAGTGGATCTCTTCAACTGGGCTAGACCCTATGTTTTTGCCCTTTACGAGTTTTCCTTGTAAGAACTTCTGACATTTCTAATGGTTGTTTTATTTTATCTAAATGTTTGTTGAATAATAATGCGACACTAAGACAATAATGTGCAACTCTACCATCGTGAATTTTCTAGCACACGTCAATAACCAAGTTGATCATGTATTACTAGACAAAAATTTCGTTTCATTCAAAAACAATCACTATATATATGAAAAATTAGGGATGTTGTAGTTAACCGAACCATATCATTACTAAAGATATGTAATTAACCAAGGCTCCAACTAATGTGATCAAAATCTAATGTTTCCCTAATTGCAAAAATGCTTGAAGATATCCTACTATAGACCTTCATTAATCCAATTGATCAATAACCAAGAACTTGATGCATGTTTGGGCACATAACAAGAACAAGATAATTATTTGAGAGGGTAGTGGCTTGCAAGTTTGCCTTCCTTCACAATATAGTTCTGCTGAGGAAAATCTTCTCCTTTGACAAGTATTTGCCAATAGGGCTGTCAAAACGGATCGTTGTTCGTGAATAGCTCGTGTTCGGCTCGTTAAATTCGTTTGATAAGTTAACGAGCCGAACACGAACTAAGATGTGTTTGTTTGTGTTCGGCTCGTTTTGGCTCGAAATACTACTCATCAAGTTTATATATATATATATATATATATAAATTTTTTGTAATATTTTTAAAAAGTTTAATTAAATACAAGGCTACAAAAGATTTATAATCAATAAAAAGTATTAATTAAGAAAGAAGAATAAAAATTATTAAATTAGATTCAAATGATGTTTTAATATAAATAATATTTTTTAAAGCTTGCTCAAACCCTTATTACTTATTCTCTTATGACTACATGATTAGGGCTGTTAAAATGACTCTTTGTTCGTGAACAGCTCGTGTTCGGCTCGTTAAGCAAACGAGCCCGACACGCAAACACACTTTTTGAGCTCGAAATATAAACGTTCGGCTCATTTACACCCCTATTTGTCAAGCATGTCCTTCACACCAGCTGCATACCTCAGCTGAAATATTCAGCTTCAAAAATCAGTATTTATTCACAATTTTATAATTATATTTAATATTTACATACATACCATTCAATTCGTACGCACCTTTTAAAAGTTAAATGGTGGTGGTATTCAAAGATTTGGGGTGGGTGGTATAAATACAAAAAATTAAAGCTTAGGTGTTAGATTTGTAAATGCACATAGGAACTGGGTGGTGGTATATCTGTAAATTGCTAATACATAAATAAGAGACATTTACAAGCACCCACACACATACTCCTTTGTATTTACATATTTAGACATTTACAAACGCCCACACACCCACACACAAGCAATCAGCCAGTTTCTGGTAGCTTCTGCCCAGCGGCTTTCTGTGGCAGGTGTTGCACTGCAATTTATTAAAAAGCTGCAGCAGCCTCAAAAAGACATTTAATGGGCTCAAAATCAGCTCGCGACTTGTTGTATTCAATTTTGAGCTGAGCGGCTTGAAATTGAATTGAGGTTGATCCGGCTAAAAATCAAAACGGGCTAGCTCGAATAGTTATTTGAATCTATTTCAGTTTATAAACCAGCCGATTAGCTCAAAATTGAAACTAATTGGCTTGAATTTATTATTATTTTTGTCTCATCAACCTCAAAACTGTCTCAAAATTAGCTTGTGACCCGTCATATCCAAATTTTGAGAGCCGATATCTTCGGGCTAAATTCAAATGCCTCTCCGCTACCCCCTAAAACCCTCGACGGAGAACTCTTCACCCCTCTCCGCTCTCCCACGAATGAAGGAGAACTCTTCACCCCTCTCCGCTCTCCCACGAATAACTGTCCGCTCCCCTCTAAGAAAAAATATTAGCTCAGGAATATTGATGCATCAGTATTCTAATGAAGAAGTGCCACGTAGGTGGTAATGATCCCACCTGAGTTAATATTTTTTCCCCCTCTAAAACCCTCGACGGAAAACTGCTCACCCCTCTACCCTCTCGCTCCAATCACTTGACGAAAATGGAGGCGCGTGAATTGTGACGGGAGATCGCCGATGAACAGATTGCCGGAGTTGCGGCGACTTGGTGAGGGTTGGCTTGTTCTCTCCTTTAAATCCGTTAAAGCCGCCAAACTATGGCGCGTAGTAAGTCAACCAAAACGCGGAGATAGGTTGATAATTTTGAACAGCACCTGCAACATTAATGGGTTTATCTACTTACTACCTCATCTGTATAGATTATTTCAATTAGCTTAATCAGCCGCAACAATCAAGCTAAATTTGACCATAGTTGTTCTGCTTCACTGACGAGTTCATCGAGTAATCAGTCTTGTTGATCAGGCGTCCTTCACTCATGATTAGCCCAATTGTTTCTCCGTATAAAATTTGATATGAATCTCGAAAGCCTGCACAAGGTATGGAAGATTAAGGTCCTAAACAAGTCAGGAGAGGAGGATGCTCGCAAAATCCTCGATCGCATCAGTAAGCAGGTTCAACCTATAATGCGGCGGCGTAAATGGCGAGTCAAACTTCTCTCAGAGTTCAGGTGCTACCTAAAACTATAATTCATTTTTTTCAACTTTCTATCTCTGTTACTCTCCATCTCTCGTGCATTTGATCTCTTTTAAGGGTTAGGGTTTAGGGTTTTTATTATTGAACCCTGGTTTAATTTCAAGGAAGTCCTGCGAATCCATCGCTTTTGGGTTTGAATGTGGGATCGTGTTTGGAGGTGAAGCTACGTCTTCGGAGGCCGAGTCGGGTTTGGGAGTTCTTACCCTTCGAGCAGGTGCTTGACACAATGTTACATGAGCTTTGTCATATTGAGCACAGCCCTCACAATGCGCTGTTCTATAAGCTATGGGATGAACTCCGAAAGGTACACACACCATCACCAACTCCATATATATTTGACAAGATAAGGCGACTATTTGATCCATTATTATTTAGGGAAATTTACATACATGTCACGCAATTCTTATGTATTTACATATCTAACACCTAAATTTTGATATGTAAACTTATAACAGTTTAGAGTCATACGACTATGCATGAAAAAGTGTATTTCTCTTTTAAGAAAAAATACTCATGATAGTATTTCTAATGTGACTTGAGTGTTATGTTTGTAGATATTAGGTGTTAGATAAGTAAATACATGAGAATTTGTGTGTTATGTATGTAAATATCACCCAAAGTTTGATTTTTACCCTTGTAACACCTTGGTGTCATAACGTTATGCATAAAAATCAAACTTTGAGTAAGATATGTAAATATATAAGAATTTGTGTGGTATGTATGTAAATTTCCCTTGTTTTTTTAGATTAAATTCATGCCATTCTAAATATTTGGCATATTGGACTTTAAGAAAGCTATTATTTACAAATAAAGCTGATGAAAGCCCTCACTTATGATCTTTATGGACTCCGATGGTAGTCGAATTTATGAATTACAAGAGAAATCTCCCTTGGTAGTCGAATTTATGAATTACAAGAGAAATCAATGTTAGTTGCTTGTTGCAAAACTAGATTGCTGGCTAAATTTTCCAGAGTAACATGACATCCTATTCATATTAGCTTATGTTTGAATTTGAGTAAACCGAAACAATAGGACAACAGAATGATTTTGGATCTCCATCACAAAATTTTTGTTGGTTTCCCACTTCAACAGCTATTCCTTGCACTACGGCATGGAAAATTTTTTCTATGATTTAAGCTTCGTTTGGTTGAGCTTTTCATTTTGTAAAAGTTTGTTAGAAAGGTGTTTTAAGAAAAAATAGTATGAAATAGTATGAAAATGCAGTTTTTTAATTAGTGTTTTTAAAAAGTATAAGAACCAAAGAAGTTAATAAATAGAGGACTTTATCTGAAACGGAAAGCGGTTTGGAAGTTTAGCCAAATGAGGCCTCAGTCTATTTGCATGTAGAAGAAAAATAAATTCATGCATGTGTTATGGGGCTTGACACTGTGGGTTAATGTCTACATTTGCATGCACATCGAAATTTCAATCCATCCATGGAAGAGCATTTTGGCACTTCACCAATCATCGTGGATCGAGTTTATCAGGGTTTAAACATTTATGCATGTATTAAGTTTTGTCGAGAAGAATGTAACATGTGTTGTCAAGTTAGGTTTTAGGATCTATTTGAGGCAGCTGCAATTTTTTTATAAATTTGGTTGTAAAATTGTGGTGGAGAAATCAACTGCTTTGAAAGTACTGTGAGAATTGTAAAAATTTATTTTTTTTCAAAAGAAAACCAGATGATAGTTTTCTTGAAACGCCATGCTTTGATAGATCAAGTTGCAAAAAAAACTTTCAACCTCAAAAAAATTCTGGAAAGCAACAAAAAATAGTTCATCAAACAAAACAGTGGTAGCAATCTAAAATGCAAAATAGATAGAAAATTATCACATATAGACCCGTAGTTGCAAATTTTTTAAATTTTACCATACAACTATGCATGCAAAAATGCTTTTTCTTATGCATGCAATCTTCGAAATTGAAAGAGTGATGCAATTCCATTATATTTGACCATTGCCTTATTTTCAAATTTATGGTTAGAAGTGATGTTCGTGTTTTCATGAATGGCTGCAGGAAAGCGGTGGTTTGGTAGCGAAGGGGGTTTGGTACTGGAGAAGGATTTGATGGTACTGGAAGACGCTTGGGTGGTTTTACCAGGCAGCCTCCTCAATCATCTCTTCGACAAACCGCAATGGCTCCAGCACAAAAACGCACTCGGGTCGGTGCTCTATTGCCATCTGGTCCAAGGCAGCTCGGGGGCGATGATGTTATTATGTCTGCTCTTAGTCCCATAAAAACTGCTGCAATGGCCGCTGAAAGAAGAAAGCAGGATGATTTGTGGTGCGGTTCAATCTCGCGTGAAATGGAAAGGATCGATGGTTTAGAAGAACTCGGAGAATCTTCGAACAGTTTAAGGTATGTAGTGCAAAGCAGGAGTTCTACTTTCTATGGCGGTTTAGCTACTAGCTCTCTCAACTCCTCTAATGAAACTACTTTGGTGTATTGCATACATACCACCCAATTCTGTTGTATTTACATATCTAACACCTAAATTTTAATTTTTACATTTATATCACCCAAATCTTCATATCACATAAAAAATGCAATCATTCTAACTTTTAAAAAGTGAAATACACCTTTTCAAGCGTAGGGAAGATGGAATGTATGTAAAAATTGATGTTTAGGTTTTAGATATGTAAATACATAAGAATTGAGTAGTATATATGTAAATCTTTCATCTACTGTCAATAGCAGCAACCATAGGAACAGACCGCTATCTGTGCCTACATATTCTATTTCGGCAAGAGAAAATAATGATGCAAGCTGTTATGGGAATGCAAAGTGTGCACTCTATTGAATCAGGTTTGTTCTTTACCTTCCCCTCACATAAAATCTGTTCTTCTTTAGTTTGAAACGTCTCTCAATTTTCAATTGAAGGAGTTCTGAATTTAATTTAGTCCCAATGTCCTTTTTGTTCATTTTATTTAAACCTTGTCTTGATTGTATAACAAATTGTAACATTATTTTAGATGCCTTTATATATGCAAATAAATGATTATGAGAAGTTATGCTTTCTTTTGCCTCTGTGTTGTAGCTATACTTACGTAAAACGTCTGTCTTGCATTGTAATTATTTTATGAGCCTTTTTTTTAAAAGTTTTACATCATGCAGTAAGTTATCCTGTCATCTTTGAATATTGTTCGTTATTTTCCAACATTTAGGATGTGTTTGAAAACTGGGAATTTTGAGGAAAATGAAACGGGAGAAGTGCTTGTGCTCATTTGATATAGGATCAAGGGCTCAAATCATTGGGTTTATATATTCATAATCAACCCAGAAAGTGTTTTGATTTCGAGAAAAATCTCAAAATGATGCCCAAATCTTTGCAAGTGGTTCTTTTGGTCCAAAGTTTATAAAAATGTCAATTTAGCCCTCAAACTCTTTTAATATCGTTTAAAATAATCTACGCGGGGGACTTTTAGCCCCTCATTAAAAAAGACTGGAGACTAATTTGGCACGTTTATATATGCTGAGACTACAATGACCTCATATAAATAGTCAGAGGACAATTTTTATACTTTACTCTTTTGATATCATTAATTTCCTTCACTTCCTTGAATTTGCACAAAGTTTTAATGTTTGCATAATTTCTTTGTGTATTATTTGTCTTGGCGTGATTTATGTTTTACAGCCATTGGCACCAATATGTGAGGCATGCGAAGCTAAAAAATTTAGACCTTTGGAATCCAAATATAAAACCTGCTCATGCAAGCTCTGTACTTTGGAGAACAGCATGAAATTGGACAAATGCTCTATATGCAAGCAATGGCGATACTCAAACGGATCACCGGCGTCCACCCGCAGTCCCAATTATGGTACTTGACGTAATTGTTTAGGTGCTTATGTAATTTTTGAACAAATGTTAGTATATTTTGTTTAGGGAAATTTACATACATGCCACACAATTCCTTTGTATTTACATATCTAACAACTCAAGTTTGATATTTACATTTATAACACTTTGGTGTCATAAAGTAATGCACAAAAAGATGTACATCACTATTAAAAGGTTAACAGTAGTGGTATTTTTGATGTGATATTAAGGATTAGAGTGTTATGTAGTTCATGTTAGACATGTAAATACATAAGAATTAAGTGGTTTGTATGCAAATGCCCCTTTTGTTTAGCAAGTCTTTGTAATTTTGTGAAATGAGCTTGAATTAGAATGCCCCGCTCTCTTTATCTCTGATTATGGTGGTCGTTGGCCTCATTTTTCGTATATTATGAACTGAGCGATCTATTTTTTTTGGGAAATTTACATATATAGCACAGAATTCCCATGTATCTACATATCTAATACCTTAAAATTCGATATTTACAATCATACTACCCTGATGTCATAAACTGATGCTTGAAAAATTGTATTTAACTTTAAAAAGTTAGTAGTGTTTTTCGTCTGATGCCATAAACTGATGCTTGAAAAGTTGTATTTAACTTTAAAAAGTTAGTAGTGTTTTTCGTGTGATGTTAAAGTTTTGAATGTTATGAATGTAAATACGAAAGTTTAGGTTTTATATTTGAAAATAAATAAGAGTTGTGTGGTATGTATGTAAACGTGCCCTTCTTTTTATGTAATGGATTATGGATGAGTGGCATCTTTATTCTAATGACTGCCATACCTTAAAATTTAATATAACATGTAGGCTATATTTATAAATTGACGAATTACTTGATCAAGTTTTGATCCTACATTTGTCAAAATTTTAAGGTCATTGCATTATCCTGCCTAATGGGGTTGCTTGAATGGGATTTTGTCGCTGATTCTTATCAATAAGTTTAATATTTGGAAGATTTACATACATATCACACAATTACTATGTATTTACATATCAAACACCTATACTTTAATTTTTACATTTATACCGCTTTACCCATGCTTTAAAAGTTGTGTTTCACTGTTTAGAAGGAGCGTTATTTTTAATGTGACGTGAAAGATTCAAGGGTTATAGATGTAAAAAATTAAAGTTTAGGTGTTAGATATGTAAATACATGCATATGAATTGTGTGGGGGTATGTCTGTAAATGCCCCTGCATATTTTGTTGCCACATTCAAAGGATTATAATGATTCCGGCTATGATAAGGAAATATTGTGCATGGAAATATTGTGCATTGTCTTGCCTGCATTGTCTTGCCCTTCCTGTTTCACTTCACCTGTTCTGTTTCATAATGAAAAACCCCTGGCATAATTTTTGGGGTATTTACAGCGATACCACTTAATTCCTGTGTATTTACGTAGCTAACACCTAAACTTTACTTTTTTACATTTACGGCGCCCAAATCTTTTATATCACATAAAAAATACCACCATTTTAACTTTTCAAGAGTGAAAAACACATTTTCATACATAGGCAAGGTGGTATGTGTGTAAAAATTTAAGCTATAGGTGTTGGATATGTAATACATAGGAATTGAGTGGTATGGTATGTATATAAATCTTCCATGATTTTTTAGATCTGAGAAGACAAAAGGCCAATGCATCCCACATCCTTAGTAGTGGAATAATATAAGATTCTTTGGTAGTGGATGGTAGTTGGAAAATCTACATACATACAACTCGTTTTCTATGTATTTACATATCTATCTCCAAAACTTTACTTTTTACATACATGCCACCTTACCTTTGCATTTTAAGCCGTGTATTCCACTTTTTAAAAGTTAAATCATGTTATTTTTTATGTACTACGAAAGATTTGAGTGGTATAAATGTAAGAATTAAAGTTTAGGTGTTAGATATTTAAATACATAAGAATAAAGCGGTATATATGCAAATATCCCAACAAAGTTAAATTTGTGTTTGGCTCATTAGATAATTGAGCTTTCACGGAACATGCTTTGTTCTTCTTAATGATCGAGCTGAGCATAATCGAACATGAATAATATATATATATATATATATGTATATATATATATATTTCTTATGAGAATATAATGTGTTCATCATTGCAAACATTGTCAATATATCATCTTTACTGACATTTCTACTATTGAGCGCTCAGATTTTTACATTTTTCTGATATATCTTCAACTCCAAATTTTATATGCTATTGAGCACTCAGTTTAAAGATTTACATTCATACCAGTCAATTCTTTTGTATTTATTTACATATCTTAACACCTAAACATCAATTGTTACATACATACCACCTTATCTATGCATGTTTATTTTTTTAAAGTTAAAAAATTAATATTTTTTGATGTCGTATGAATGATTTGGGTGGTATAAATGTAAAAAAATCAAGGTTTAGATGTTAGATACGTAATTGCACAATAATTGGGTGACATCCATTGAAACTTGTAAATGCCCTTATTCTTAGCTGTTTTTATGCCTGAAAATTGTAAAAACCCTAAACAACTAACTTCTAAAGCTCAATTTTTACATCCATGAAGGTGTATCTCATTTTTCGAAAGTTAAAATGTTATATTCTAGATGTGGTACTAAATATTTGGGTGGTATAAATCCGAAAACAAACTTTAAGTGGTTGATATGTGAACGCATAAAAATTAGATGTTTTGCATATAAATGATCCTATTTCATTTTATAAAAATATAGATGACTTCATGGATTGTTAAAAAGGATGTACAATAAAGAAAGATCTATTGACAGGAGACTGAGAGTCTTCACTTATTCTATCGGATGTAGTCTTATGAGTTAAAGATTAGTAGATTTTTATGACTGATATTATTTGTTAGAGACAGAAAATATGTCTTACAACTTGATTAATGAAATCAAGATTTCTGAGGTATGATTGATATGCAAATGCTTAAGAATTAATGCAAAGCAATTCTTATTCACCATTTCAAATTTAAAATTTTATTATACTATTTAAACTATGTGATTTTATTTCATTAGAGTTATATTTATGTAGTCCTTGATGATGCATGGCCAAGTTTAGTATGTAAAGGCATTCACTCTATAAGGGTGGTGATCTCTACAGAAGAGACCATCCCTTGCCCTATAATAAGTGAGGGCTTGAAGATAAGGAAAAAAATCAACATATGTATATACCTAAAGGCGATCTTTACATGTCTAATCCTAAATTGAAGGGTTAATAATCACCTTTTTTTTTTTTTACTCTATTCTATTCTATAAATATTATGATGTTTATAAGGTGTGAATGCAATATGTTATTTTATTTATTTATTTATTTTTGTTATGAGTTTTGATTTTTTTTTAAAAAAAATTAAATTTGAGTTAATTAAGGATGGTAAAACTAGTTTTGAAGAGCATATTAGAAACGATCGAGGTTATAAAGAAAACCTCGCCAATAAACATAAAAAAAAAGAGACAAATTTAAGCGGAGACGGAACATAATTAACACACATTTAAACAACAAAAGCAATAAAATTCATTAAATAAGAAGGTAATAATTACTAGATCTAAGACAAACTTGTCAATCGACTAGACTATCTAGATGTCTTTAGTTTGTGTTCAGTTACTTTGGGGTCCATCATTGTATTTGATTTAAGATGAGGTTTATCCTCTTCTTTGATGTTTATTCTTGTTGTGATTCGTCCTCATTCCATTGTCTTGCGGTTCCCACTTCAAACAATCAAGACAACCATAGGTTACTAACTAAGACAAACTTTAACTCTATATTAGACTCAACAAGTAAATGGAAATCTACACTTACTATGACACCCTACATTTACAACAACACCCTGCAAAATAATATTAGTATTCACAAAGATACAAACAAAACAAAATCAACATAAAAGTCTACTTGGATCTAGCACTATGTTGCACACTAGGGCCCCAATCCTATTGACTCTGCTTAAGGTGTTTTTTTTTTATTATTTTTAACACCTGCAAAAAAAATGAACATATCAATTTTATTTTTATGATTTTAGTGGCTATTTCACTAAGCATGATTTGCTGCAGAAGAAAAGTGTCATAAAACAACTAAATGCTTAAGGTGGTTTTTTATTATTATTATTTTTAACACCTGTAAAAAAAAGGAACATATCAATTTTATTTTTATGATTTTAGCGGCTATTTCCCTAAGCATTATTTGCTGCAGAAGAAAAGTGTCATAAAACAACTAATTATTGTCATAACATCCAATCTGACGCACAGGCAATCCTAATATTTAAAACTAACGGGCAGACACAACAATCACCATCAACCATCACAATCATCTATGTTTTTTTTTAAATTAAGTAGTCAGATTCTTTCTTCAAATTGTGATATTTTTATTTTTTTAATATTCAATTTTACCCAAGAAAGTGTTTATGTATGTTTTTTAGTATTTTGTCAAATTTTAAGATTTTTTATTTGAATTTATTATGAAATTAGTTAAATGTCATATGTATATATATATATATATGTTTATGAGGCATAAATACATATTTAATTAATATTAAAATTTAAAAAAATATCATAAACCATTTAAGAAAATCGTTAGGGATCTTATAAAACCATTTATACAAAAAAGTATAGAATTTTTATGCATTTTATATTTTTTTGGAATTTTTTATTATTAAAATTTGTTTTATTTTGAATTTTCAAAACAATTTTTATATTTTAGATAAAATAAATTTTATAATTATTTGAATATTAAATGTATTTTCTTAAATTCATAAATAGATTCAAACAAAATCTAAAGATTCTCAAATTTTACAGAGATACTTAGAACTGAATTTTGAACATTTCAAGTTCAAATAAATTTTTAGTATTATTTAATTAATTATTTATTTTATTATTTTTATTCAAATTTAATAGATTTTAGATTTTGTCTTTTATTTGTGAAGATACTCATTGGTGGAAATTTAGTATGATTTGGAATTTAAATGATCAAGTTATAACAATTTTAGGTCGAATGGGTATATTTGTAAATTTAAAAAACTTACAGATTTATCATTCTTTCAAAATGATGCATGATATAAACAAAAATGAGTGATAATTGTTGTACTTACAATAGAGCGGGGGCTGAATCCGCATCCACTTATATTGGAGCCTTCGAATATATAAATGACGGCGTGGACCACACCAAATTACATAACAAAACTAAACAACACTTGATATAGAAAAGCAAGTCATTCTCGTGCAGCATAAATGCAAAAACAGCTTCAAGAATACATTCCACTTAATTGTTGCAAGCCAATTGGGCATACATCTCAATGAAATCAGCTGATATTAGCATCTGATAAGGGTCCATTTATACTGCATTTTTCCTCTAAATAAAATAAAAATAATCAGCTCCTTATTTATTCTGTCAAGCACTGGCCTTCTTTGAATCCCCCACATCAGGCAAAAAATGTTAATGACAATAATAATGCTGCATCTAAGAATGAAAAAAACAATGCTGAGCAGAGATGAAGACCTGAATCGCTTTCATCAACAATTTTTAACGGTTGTGCCAATGTAATCAAAACCTATAATGAAGAATGCGGCTGACTGCAGAAAGAGGTAAACAAAATATCCTTTTTTGATGCAGGTAACGTCATAGAAGGCAACCATAAATAGGAAGGCACCCATCCATAGCTCTGCCCCATGAAATCTAATGCAGCAAACAACACAAAACCATCAAAATTTAACTCCACAGCAAACAACATGTGGGAATAGTCATGGTGGCTGATATTTTTATAAAGATGATTGTAAAGTATTGGTGGAGAAATCAACTTAAAGAAAAGTTGGGGTGAGAAATACAACTTATAGAGAGATTTTAGTTGAGTGTATAAAGTACCTTTGCCAAATCCTGATTTGAGGATTCTTGTATTCGACAAGAAGAGGCTCTTTAACCGTAACTTGTACTAAATCCTGTGATTCCTGAACTATGACTTCCATGGATGGCTTCGTCTTGGTAGCATCACCTAACTTTCTTGTAACAATCCATTCATTAACCCGGCCGACCTCTAAAATACCAATAGTAGCCGCCTTTATCAAAAAAAGTTGGGGGTGAGAAATACAACTTATAGAGAGATTTTAGCTGATTGTATAAAGTACCTTTGCCAAATCCTTATTTGAGGCTTCTTGTATTCGATAAGAAGAGGCTCTTTAACCGTAACTTGAACTAAATCTTGTGATTCCTGAACTATGACTTCCATGGATGGCTTAGTCTTGGTAGCATCGCCCAACTTTCTCGTAACTATCCATTCATTAACCCGACCGACCTCTAAAATACCAATAGTAGCCGCCTTTATCCGATGCAATGACATTACATTTTCAAAGAGCACCCAGAGGATTACAAGGTGGAATGAGCTGCTCATAAAACAGAAGAGATTTCATTCATTTAGCTAAACATTCATCAAAATCGTAATAAATTGTAATGTAGTTTTGAATTTTATGTCCTGCATACCTTGGAGTGCCCACTGATTTTAATAGCGTAATAATTGTAGGGACATGTACAACACCCCACAATGGAACCTCAACCTCAGGAATCAGAACAGAGAGTGGAATCACAACGCAGTAGAATACGTACGTGCATACATGAGATACAATCTTTCCAACGAAGAAGAAGCTGTATATCAAGTGGAATTTTTTCCCTATCGAAACCTTCTGAAAAACCAATTCATAAAGTATATGGAAAAAATTTAAAAAAATATATCATTCTGTGCTGATTCAATTACAAGAAAATGATGTATCAAGTAATCTATGTAGTAACCTTGTTTGTTATTATCTCCATTGCCATCTTCTTGAAAAGATTTGCACGGCTGCCTAAAAGAGATTTATCAAATTCAAATGTTGTAAATCCAAAATAGTGTTTTGTTCAATTTATGATTATATTCATTAAGTTTGTTTATTATGTTTGACATAAATTTGCTCTTGTGACTTTCTTCATAAGCTAAATCTGTTAAATCAATATAATAATGGTATTTAATAAATTCATATTTACGTGAAAATATGGTTAATGGATTTTAGCAAAGTGCGGATTTATTTTCTCTAATTTTTTTGTTCGGCTGGATTTAGGTTAAATTATATATAAATTCTACTCAAATCCGGCTACCAAACACCCCCTAAGATTAATGTAAGGTGAGTTTTTGTCACCTTCATTTTAGTAATTAAAAGTCAAGACTAATTAACATACATGGTGGCATTCCGTGCACAATAATTTCTCTTAAAAAATTAAAATATTTACATACATACCCATCAATTCTTTTGCATTAACTTATCTAATACATAAACTTCTATATATAGTTATATATATATGTGATTTGATTGATATGAATATTTACACACTGGAAGTAAACATTATTATAAGGTTGTGAAAGATTAACAAATATGTTCCGATACATAGCAGCAGCATATTAAAGAAGATAGAAGATTATTTTTCTGCTGCCTATTTCTAAAAAAACAATCAATATCTTAATTATTTCACATGCTGTGCATCAAAAGTAGCACTTATGAATTTTTATTATATTAGTAGCTCTAATTTATTTCACATTCGACACTATATATATATATATATATATA